AAAGGGGCCTAAAAACCACACTTAGATATAGATGAATTTCACTAAAAATTAAGCTCCGTAGGGATTAAATTTTGTTTTTTAGTAGATTTTTATAGAAGTTGATGAAATGTGTGGTTGAAAAATTGCGGGACCCATAAAATATGTGGTTAAAATTAATTGTTAACTTTGACTTGGGGCTAAAAGTATAAATACATTTTCTGCTGAAAGCACAAGAAAAGCAAAAATATCAAAAGATGAACTAAAAATATGTTAACAATGTAAATCATGTGCGATCTTCATGTGTTCATGAAGTTTAAGAATCTAATGATCTGGTTGCAACATTCGACACTATGATTTAAAGCAATGATGGTTGTCATTTTTGTTGCATATGTTTGCGATATGATAAATCTTTGTTGGCATCTTTTTTTTTTAATCTTTGTTTAATATTTTTGGAAATTTATGCAGTCTTTTAGTAAACATAGTTTAGTTACTGCACCGCTTGACTAACAAGTATTGTCGCGTGCTTCTTTTTGTTGAGTGCATTATTCATCTTCTATGACATACATGTTTTTAATGTTATAACTTGTTCATTCTAGGAAAATAGTTACCATCTCTAACTTATTTCTTCCACCTCATATTTTTTCTAAAATATATGAATTTTGTTCATAAATTTTCCTTTTATTTCACCCCCTCCCCCCAAACATATTGTTCTAGGTTCTCCCTTTTCTTAGTGAGGCATTATGTTAATTTTTTACTTTCACTACTATAGGTTATGTTACTTGTCTCACTTTTCATATCTCACGAGGGTGCAAAATACAATTTCTTTTAGGAAATGGCTGGAAAAGCAGTAAAATCTGTTGCAAAAACAGTTGGTGAGTACCAATATCCATGGCGGGAGAAGTTGGTGAAGTACAAGGATGAGCTCTCAAAGGGGGTATGGGGTTACTGGGAGCTTGGTGCTTGGAAAAACCTTGGTATCAGTGCCCGTAGACGAGCCCGACTGCGCAAGGAAGTGCTTCTTGCTGGGGAAGATTGGCCATATGATCCAGAAAGGAAAGAAATGAGGAGCAAGAGGAAAGGGCATAAGGTTGACAGAATAGCAGCAGAAAAGCGGGAGAGAACAGCCGAACTAATGCAGAACATGCCTCAAATGCTGGCAGATTATAGGAAAAGAAGGTGGGAGAGGAAGATGAAAGAAGAGGAAGATGCTGCTAAAAAGGCAGTGCAGGAGTAGATTCGGTTTTATAAATTTCCATGATCCAATGTCCAACGTTTTCTTCTCTACTTTCAAATTTTATGGTTGAAGAAATCAACGAATCATAATGTTTTTCTTGAATAGCTGTTTTATTTGCTTTTGATTTCTGGCTTCATTAATGGTGATTCACGGTACTCCAAAATGCCTTTTGTTTCATGCGGCTTGCATTTCTTTCACGACAATTATTCGGGCTCGACTTTGAGCTGGTTTTTATGGTGGGAAGAATGGTGAATTTGTTGTGGCAATGCTTCTGTGAGATGTACATTATATAACATAAATTGTTCTTGATGTGGACATCTGTGAACGAACAATATGTCCCAACATTCTTGCCGAGTTATACCCAGCTCAAATAATGCGTGTCGGCCCAACAGATCGTAATTGCTAAGTTAACAATAGGCAAGTGGAATCTAGAACCCTGTTTTTCGGTATTAAAGGAATGTTTTACTGCTTTGATTTTGGTGATCAAGTCAGTGCAGAATTTTAGAGGGCAGCAGAAGTTTTATACTTTCCAGTGATTGTTCTTCATCCTAACGAACAATGGAGAAATTGTTATCATTTTTAGTGTTGAATCTCTCAATTTAAAAGTTTGTATGGTTAGAGGAAAATATAACGTGCAAGTCAAATTCTTCTTCTTGTGTGTGTGTGTGTGTGTGTGTGTGCGCGCTGTCGTAGGCACCCAAAAATAGTCCTTAAACCTCTAAAATTAATGTAGTAGTGGAAGTAAGGGTCGATCCCACGAAGAGTGTGTAATTCAATATTTTATGATTCATACAATGATTGGGGGGTTTTTGTATGCAACAATTGTAAATAACATAATCAATAACA